CGGATGTGTCCCTGAGTGTGAGTGTATTTCAATCTACATTCATACACATGCAACATTAACAGTGGCTTTTATCAACTCTATTCATTTTAGTCAATATGAAAACGTTATGGCAACAAAAAACGGCATTATTTGATTCGAATCATTTCCGGTGCTGCTATATTGTCACATTCGTGATTGCTTACGAAATATTGCGATTGTATGTCGAGTAAATGATCGTTCAACTGATAAACTGTAACTAATATCTGATCAAATGAACTGTCGAAAAAAATTGTAATACCGTAGGCGTCGTCAAATTGACGCTTAGTTTTGGCAATGAAAAGTTAGCCATCATAATTTCTGATTCAAATTGAACAGAACTGCTTGCATCATGCAAAGACATTGCACTGGTTAATGACATTGTTCAACAAGAAAGTACTTTTTTTTCTGTTTATTGTAGGTGGCGGTTTATTGCGTTGGTGTTGCGGAAATGTGCATTCGCTTTTAATTGACTCAAAGCATTTGTTTTTATTCAATCGTTTGCACGGTGCACGTGAATAATCACACGCAATGTGCATCAGTTTTGTTCGGAGTGAACGTTGCACCNTCACTTTCCGATCGCACACTGCATTTTTATGCTTGTTGAAAATTTTCAGTTTGTAGATCGTGCTTCCGATCTTTTGCATTTCACGCATCCTTCTTATTCATTCTACCCCAGTAGACCTCGGAAGGTAGTAGCTAAACGTTTCACGCACTTCAAAGGTAGCCAGTAGCATTCAATATGCTCTGTTTGTCATAACAATCTAAGAATTGAACATGCATGATAATATATTATCGTATCAGTATCAGTGTGTTATCAAGGTGTTTTTCGTATAATCGAGTGAGCACAAATAACACACTTGAAATATTTCAATGTCGTTTTCATCAATCAATTTTGACGATTTCTTTTAGTTTTTGATAGATCGGAGAAAAACCACGTCAGGTTGCATTTACATCGTCTAATAAGTGTTTTCGTCTAATTAGTAATTAGTGTTTTCCGTCGATAGTAACTTACTTGTGTGTTCGTGTTTTGACGCAGTCTCAATTGTAACGATAGTAAAACGCAATTGTGCTAATTGTAAGTGCTTTTAATAAAAACATCAACGAGGAACTGAAAACGATATAAAACATTCTATAAAATACAGCTTATCGTCAATATCTCGTAATGGTTCGTGCATGGTTAATGTGCTCACCGGTGATCAACCAATCTGCACCATGCAGTCGTGATCCTTCAGTTGATTTGTCGACAGCCAAACTTCATCAACTTGGCATTTTAACACAATATGTTAGTTACGCGATTCCGAAAGCTGTTAATTTATTCGTTATGAATTACCTGTACGAATTAAACAGAGTCTGTATTTAAGACGACATTTGCTCTAAACTATCGTCTGAATAAACCACAAGTATATGTACCCATCTCATAAATATGTAAAAATAAATCACATAAAAGTAACAGTAAATACAACGACTCATCACAAAATGTCATTTATTATCAAAGTCATAAACTAAACACGCAGACACTGTATTATAACAATTTCTTTGACTATCAGCACATTTCAAAGCAGAAGGAACTGACAAGTTTAGGACTTCATTGCTTCAATTCGACAGTGCGCGATGCTGTAGAGAATCGATCTGTCGGTAGCTGACTTTCAATCAGCAAGTTATGGTCATACTTTTCAGGTGCCAGTGGTCGATAAAAATGGGCTTTTGGACAAAATATGCAAAGAACGAGGGTATACAATCCGTGATAAATTAGTGGTGAGCCGAGATGTAACGCCTGATTATGATACCGAGGTGTGCAAGCGTCCATAATGAATGCAAACGTTATTCATATGAAAATTGAACATTCATTTTTGTTGCTGGAAATTTGTAATGAATCAACAAAACATCTTTGAATCACTGAATTCATATTCGACGACTTCATTATGCGAGCGGTGCTTTCAGATAAAGAAACTGTTCGAAGAACATATGCATATC